ATCACAATATCACCCTTCTATCACCTAGGCCGATTATTTGAAGATACAGGGAAGATATTTTTGATTTCAACCTGTGAACACTATTAGAGCGAACGTTTTTTAAAATTCTCATAGCTGGGGTCACAACACTATTAGGGTGAACGTTTTTTAAAATTCTCATAGCTAGAGCCACAACACTATTAGGGCGAACATTTTTTAAAATTCTCATAGTTAAGATCACAATACTATTAGGGTGAATGTTTTTTAAAATTCTCATAGCTAGAGTCACAACACTATTAGAGCGAATGTTTTTTAAAATTCTCAGCTAGAGTTACAACACTATTAGGGCGAATGTTTTTTAAATTCTCATAACTGGTGTTATGACACTATTAAGACAAATGTTTTTTAAAATTCTTAATAGCTGGGATCACAACACTATTAAAGCGAATGTTTTGTAAAATTCTTATAGCTGGGGTCACAACAATATACAGAATAAAAGCATTTAAAATATAAAACTAGAAATTAAAAGTACAATTATTAAATGTATTTCCTTTAAAAAATTCATATAACAAGGTAGATTTGGATTTTTCTTCTTGAATATTATATGTTTTTGATACGGGTTGATTATGTGATGGATCAGAGGCTTGAATTGTCATTTCTTGAAGAACATTAGAATTTGAAAGATATCGATTCTCAAATGAATTGTCAGTTTTATTGTCTTTATTAGATTCTAAAAAGTAAAGTATAATTTTTACAATAAATTAAAGTTTAGCAATGAATAGCAAATGCTAAAAAATATACCCAATAATTCTCTTGCTGAGTAAAAAGAATTTTCAACACTAATATTATTTGCATTATAAAGCTTAGAAAAGCTTTCGTTAGATGTAATCTCTTGACTATTCATATTTTGCTGTGAATTATCATTGCCTATAGGATATAAAATAAATTAAATTATAATAAAAATTTCAATAAAATTTACCGATTAGATTAGATGATTTTCCAACAACCTCTAACGCACTAAGAAACCCATTTAAACCTTCATGTTGTAATATCGATTTGGGCCGCTCATATGAGTAAAGTCCTTGTTGTATTTTATATCTTGTAATAGATATTACAATTGAATTGCTATATCCTAATTCCTTAAGAACCTGAACAGCCGTCTTACGATCTGAATGATTTGAAATAATTCAATCACCTATTTCAATTCCTATATTTTTACATATTGACTTAAAAAGAGTCTTGAGACTTCTTTCAGTATATAGACAAGCATAAAACCATTGGCCATTAAAAGAAGCTAACAAAAAAGATAAATGTTTGTAATTAATTTTTTTTTTTTTTTAATTAATAAATATATAACTTACTACATTCTACTTGACATGGTTTTAAATAAAAATTTTTAGGTGCTAAAGAAGGTCACTTGGAGAAATAAAGCTCATAATCATCAATTACATCTTTAATATTAGGTAAACTAATAATTTCACCCTGTATATCTGGATTACTAATTCCCCTTTGATTTGTTTTTGATTTGAACAGCTTCACATCTATCCCACCATCATGCCGCTTAATAAAATTGTCTAATAAAAGTTCATTATGTTCCTCACTATGCAAAGCTAAAAGGATTAAATACCTGCCGTAAAAGTCCTTCAGGTGTATTTTTTTGCATTGATGAATGTAAAAAAACTGCTCCAACTTCTTCTAATGTTAATGCAGATGCTCCGTTCCTTTCTCCAAGACCTTGTAATGCCAAACTTTTTAGCTTCCCATTCAAAGTAGCATTAAATTCATGAAAAACCTTCGGGTTAAGTAAATCTACAGGTTTTGAAAACACTGATTTATCGTTTAAATATCTCTATAAAGCTGCGGCACAGTTTTTAACAGACGATGCATAATAATCAGTTCCATCTTGCTTTTTCATAGCATAAATAAACTTAGACAGTTGTTCTTCGAGAACATCTTTATTCATAATGTTTTCGATTTTATCTTGGTACCCAACGTCAGCCCAGAACCTTTCTAATGCATTAACCCACACCTTGGTTGCATTATGCATTGTTTTAACCCTCCCACTATCTTTTAATCATTTGAAATCATCCTTCGTAGGTTCAGAATACTTAAAATTCTAAACAAAGTTTTTAAGATTTATACAAGTATGTCAAATTTACAAAATAAATAAAAAAAATATCTTTTTGGCTTTTAGCATTTCGATAGTATAGCAAATAAAAGCAGGTGAAAAGTGAAAGTAAAAAAAAAAAAAAAAAAAAATTATATATATATATATAAAAAAGTATAGGACTAGTTTGCGATCTTAGTTTAATACAAGGGAAAAAAAAATCTTTCAAATTGTTATATTGATAGCACGAAATTCTTTGTATAAAAAAAAGGGGTCTTTAAAGTAGAAGCCTTCTTTAAAGAAAAAAGTGTTCTTTAAAATATCATGGCGCAAAAGTTAAGTATACAATATTGGGCAAAAATTGTCGAATAACGGTAATTTGGCAAATGAGTACGTGTAGCCAATCATTTGTCAAATTACCATATTCGACAATTTGCGCAATATTGGTGTTATCCAGCAATTTATAATCATGATTGGTAGGGAGTCGCTCACTGAGTTTTATTTTTGAATATTGGAATAACATAATTATATCGTAACACATGAAAAAAATAACAAGAAGAAATTTTTTTATGATCATATGAGTTTGCCGGATAAATGATCATATTATGCATGATAACATCGATATTGGATCATGTGTTGATAAATAATTGTAAAATTTATTTCATTCGGCAAATGATTGAATTTTATGATATTAATCGATGCATGACCAATATCTTATAAATATCAGAATTATTATTATTCTTATTATTATTATTATAAATAGCAATTATTATTAGCAATTATTATTATTAGAGTAAATTTATTTCTTACTCTAGGTGAAATTAAATATTTCTCACCCATATAATGAGTGTTAAATAAAATATCAAAGACAGATACACAGATTCAACCTTTTGAAACAATTTGACAATAGAGTTAGCAACTTCATGTAATGCTTTTAAATTTAATAATAAATAAACCCTGTTTAAGAGTCTTAAATTTCAAAACAAAGTACTTGATGAAATAATTTGAAAGTTTATTTAATTAACAATGTAAAAATATGGTTAATTAATAATCACATATTAAAAATTTAGATTTAAGTCAATTAAATTTTCTTGTACCACTTTTTTATGTGGCCAAAATTAATAATACTCTTATTTATTTTTGAATCAAATTATATTCGAAAAAGATTATATAAAAATGACTAGTAAGCATATAGCGTATTGTGATTTATTTATAAAGTTACATTGTACGATATTTGCAAAGTCTGCAATTATTTCTAAAAATACATTCTTATTATCAATTTCAGCATATATAAAAATTCCATATTATCGCAATGATAAATTTTAACACTAATAGATTAAACACGCCACGTGTATATTTCGGCACTGGTGGATGCTGAAATAAGTCATGTGATTAAACTGAATACTTAGCGTTAGTGCTCTTTTTCGAATTACTGAAATAATGAATATGAGTAAATTTATTTATTAAATATTATAAACGAAAGTTATTTTTTATTTACAGTAATTTTCAAATAAATATCTTGGACTTTATATTTAATTTGCTTTTGTTTGATAAATAGCCAACTTTCTGAAGAGACTATACCGTTCGAAATTAAGCACCCTTTTTTTGTTGCAAGGGGTGCTTATTATCTCAATGATATAATGATTAGAAATAAAGGTTATTAACGTTAACGGATCTCAGATCCATGACGCTAAATACATAATGTTCTTTTTCGACTGCTAAAATAATTTTATATGAAAGATTTATTTTATATAAGATAGAAATATTTATTAATAAACTTCTTTTTTTTAAAAAAAAAAAAAAAAAGTGTTTTTAGTAGTAGTTAACTTTTTAGCACCCTTTTGTATACAGTAATTTATAAATTACAGTAGTTACACGGTCAGTTGATTTACACTAACCAATCAGACAAATTCTGTCGCACATTTTTTAATTACAATTTTAACTCGGGCCGTAGCTTAAAATGGAGCTTTATCAGGTTTATGATAACTGATAACGATAATATATATTTCTGCATTTTACGTAATATAACGATAACGATAACGATAATGATTAAGGCTCTTTACTTTTCCGAGTTTTAAAAAACTTTACGAAAATTTAAAATATCATCCGAGCTAAGTTTTTTGCATTATGTATTAAATCGCCTTA